ATCTTCTTCTATCCAGTTACCTGGGCCTCGCATATTCTCGACCATTCAGAAAGTTTAAACCACACAAAAGTGGATATCCTTGTTTTAGAAAGCTCACAAATATCTAAATAATTTTGAATGCTACAAGCCGTTACACTTTTATTGCTGGATTCATGAGACTCTCACTATGCGACTGCATGTTGACACTCAACCGGCTGTCTTCCAAATCAGCCCGGATGAAGTTTATGACGCGCGTATGTTCTTATTTCCATTTGTTATGCTGGTTGCAAAAATAGGATACACGCCAGCTCTCTGACTAATAGTGCAGGCGGAAATATTACCAGTAATTATATCACTCGGCCTCACCCCTAGTTAGTAGTATTATAAATATCAGCAGCAGTACCAGTCTTGGTTTCCAGAACTCCCGTCTTGACAGCGTCTGCATGTGGGTATTTCCTTAAAAAATTTAAATCCGCATTCAAACTTCGTGCTGGGATCAAGTGGATATAATCACAGGTTCAGCGATTTCCAAGCTGCAGATAGATACTGTGGTATGCCTACAGGTGGATGTCCTACCAATGACACTGTAGTGAAAGTGAACTGCCCCTTTGTTTTACTTAGTTAAATAGGCCTTGCAGGAACTGACACAACTTTTAAATAACACCCTGAACAAGCACGTGCTTTTATCCACAAGCGACTTTGTTCTTATTTGCTAGTTCGTAGCAGTTAGGCTAGTCCTATCTCAGGTTCTTGAAAAGACTATTTCGTATCCTAACAACACAACGCAAGAAAGTAGCAACAATGTCAACGACAATGGGCAGGTCAGTGGCAATACAACCAATGGAAACACGTCACCAGGTCGCGGTGGCAACGGCAAACACACCGACAAGCACACTGGGCAGGGAAGGGGAAATTCAACCAATGACACAACGCCACCAAGTCCCGGTGACAATGCCAACAACAACCAAGGTGGGCAAGGAAGTGGCGGTTCAACCAATTGTACAACGCCACCAGGTTCCGATGACAATGGCAACGACAACCAGGGTGAACAGGGAAGTGGCGGATCAATCAATGGTAGAACGTCACCAGGTCCCGGTGAGAAGGGCAACGATACCGACAACCAAGGTGGGCAGGGAAGTGGCCATTCAACCAATGGTACAACGCCACCAGGTCCCGGGGACAATGCCAACAACAACCAATGTGGGACAGGAACTGGCGTTTCAACCAATGGTAAAACGCCACCAGGTCCCGGTGAGAGTGGCAACGACACCCACAACAAAGGTGGGCAGAAAAGTGGCGGCTACAACAATGGCGCAATCCCAGCAAGTTCCAGTGGCTATGGAAACGACATGGACAACCAGGCGGGGTGAGGAATTGCGGCTCCACAAAGGAAACGACTCCTGCAGGTGCCGGCGACAATGGCAATCAATATACGCTTAAGCTCGATGGTGACAGAGAGAAAGAAAATGACCATAATTATGCTGATAATCATGATAATAATGGTTGCCGCTACTAGGGTGCGGTGTAGCCG